AAACTTCCCATACTGTTTTAAATCAGTCTATTGTTAACAAGTAGAACATATATGATGTAAACTTCCCATACTGTTTTAAATCAGTCCATTGTTAACAAGTAGAACATATATGATGTAAACTTCCCATACTGTTTTAAATCAGTCCATTGTTAACAAGTAGAACATATATGATGTAAACTTCCCATATTGTTTTAAATCAGTCCATTGTTAACAAGTAGAACATATATGATGTAAACTTCCCCATACTGATAAGATGGTAAAGGAACAAATTTTTCTTTCTGAAAATAATGACAGAAAGGGAAAACACACAGAGCATACCACCCACTAAGGGTTAGTGGGGGATCACTCAGCAAGAGAACCCTTCCATCGCAAGCAAGGAATACTGTTGCCCAATAGGAGTAGTAAAGCAATAGGTAATGTCAAAATAACCTCGTGCATCTTGCTAGCATTGCATAGGTGAGCAGAATGTAATGATCAACCAGCCTGTAAATTTTAGGGTTTTGGTAGAGCATGTACATGTTGTGTGATATGATGTCAGTAAATTTCTACTTAGTTTCTGCCACTCACAAAATATCATTATTTTTCAGACCTGTGTTAACTGTTACAATACAATACTTATTTGACTGAGTTTTGCTGTTTTACCTGAATAGAGAAGTATAACCGAATTGTGTGCACTTTAAGATGACCAAATGACAGAATTTTTAGGGAAATTACCCAGTTTTAGATCAGTGTCCATGAAATTAAAGTCTACTCAAGTGTTTTGAAAGTAAAGAACATTTTTGTACAAAATACAGTTAAAGAGCATGTTTTACTACACTGTTGTCATTATAATTTTCTAACTAAAAAACAAAGTTATAAATTCCACCATTCTCCCTTAGTTAGTTATTTTTAATGGTGTTTGGATATTTGTATATGATTCTAAGGTTATTCTTTCTTAATATCTTCCAAACACCATTAAAAATAACCTAACTTCAAACAGAAAAACACCTGAAAATAAAAAACAAGGCGTTTATATTATACCACGCCAATCCTATCAGAAAGGTTATGTAGGTGAAACCAGAAGAAGTATTGACACAAGAATTTCTGAACATAAAAAAAGACATAAAATACGGAAACCAAAATAATGTAATTTTTCTTCAAAAACCTGCCTAAAACACTTCCCAAGGTATATTTAAACTTAACAACTTCCTGACCTACTGTGTCCTTAAGGGAATTCCAAGATTAGGGATCACGTAGGTGTTTGTTGACCAATTTTTTCCTGCCAGTAGACAACGTGAGACTGAAGAGGATGCACAAATGTGTCAAAACTAGTTTCTCTAACATCAGACTCCTGACAGTTAGTTCCGTTTACTGTAGTTTTTCACTAATTGATATACATGATATTGTGTTGTTTTATCATTATTAAGATGCTTGTAGTAGTTCCACATAATCTCATTACAGCTAATTTCAATCTTAGAGCATTGTTTCAAAGAATTCTTCAATTTCAGCAACACAAGGAATTTTGTCCACTTACTACACTGACAGTAATCGAAGGTAAGGCCAAGACCACAGATGATTAGACACCATTAAGAGTGATACATTATTTTGCTTCACACCTTAAAAAGCAGTTGTACTAAAACACAAATATCAAATTTCACTTACAAAGCCCATGCCAAAAAATTAACTGGATGAAGTTAGAAAATAAATCTCACCTGACATATGCTTAATATGCTCTTTTGAGAATTGTAAACTTTAGGTAAATGCACACAAATCACCACATACATTTGGTTGTTCACCAGCTGCCTTGTGATTTCATACTCTGGACAACAAACTTGTCTCTTCTCTTCACATTCACCTCCTCCATTCTCCTTTTGCATTTCTTCAACTCCATAATCCTGTGATATATCTTCTCTATTTCCCTTAGGTATATCTCCTACTCCGTTTCTCATTATTGGTTTTTGGTCTTTATTGTTTAACTTTTTCTTTATAACTGTTTTTATGGGTGTCATCAAAGGTTCCTTTTCTTCATGAATTTGAAGAGAAGAAAAAGTATCCAATACAGTTATTTTGTCATTGTTTCTCTTTTTCTTAGAGTTGTGGTCTTGCATAAGTTGGTTAAGTTGGTTGGAAAGTTCCTCTTGTTGTGCTGCTATATCCCCAGCAGGTGTGACTACAGTATAATGATGTGATACACATAAATTTTGAACAGCTAGGAAGTCTCTGACTGCCTGCATTACATCTTTTTGCTTCTTTTCTTCAACTTTTATTCTATATAAATTATTAGGATGCAGTGCTACTGCTATGACCAAAACATCTTGACTGTTCGATTCTGAAAACAATAAATAAAATTACAGTGGTATCATTATTTTCTTCATTCCTATTTAAAAATTACAAATAGTTATGAACCTTTATGGTGCCCAAATATTACTTATCTGTTTTTAAAAAGTCCACATACACTGTAATACCCTATACATATGAAGATAATTCCTGAAAATTAACATGAATTTGTAGAATAATATAATAATATAATAATTGTATGACGACAAAAATCCTGGAAGCCTCTACATTTCAGTAGAAGCAAGATTCTGAAGGGTATATATATGGTGTGGGGAGGGCTTGCTCAAAGTCCCAATATGAACATTCTTGAGGCTGTACATAAGAACTGAAAAGGCCTAAAGTTTTTAAGTTGTTTAATTTTAAATTTAGTCTACTTGAAGAATATCCAAAGTACAAGATTCTTCGTTTGGTTAAGTATGCATTTGTGTAATAAATAAAGCAAACAACAGTATGAAAACAAGATGTAGTACTCTATGTAAAGCAAAGGGTTCACATACAAAATACGAGCATTCAGCTTATTTGATTTTCAGTGACATTGTTTCATACCATTAATAAATTGATCATCTTGTTATCATTACTTGTTGTTTATGACTCCTACATGTGTACTGTTTATGTTTCCATAATTATTTCCATTACTTATATTTTTAGCAACTGTATAATTTACCTACTACAGAAATTAACTGCATTTCTGTTTCAGTAGTTATTGTTACAGTACATAAGCAGAAATGCAATAAAATAAAATGAGGTTATTAGTAAAACTTACTGCCTGAGGTCAGCATAATATATGTGTAGACATCCCTCATGATACATGTGCAGATATCCCTCATAATATTATCAGGGGTAAGCAATTTTTTTAAGAAAACAAAACAAAAACGAATTATCCAAGGGACGGACTGCTAGAAAAATCTATTAGTCCTTTTTAAAAATCTACTTGCCTCGTCAAAAGACACACAAACTCAATATAACTTTTAGGAATTTGCTTTTATTCAACAATGGAACAACAGTCAAAATTACTGCACTCGTCTCAGAGGTGCAAAGTTAAAAAATAATAACACTGTAAAGAATGAAGACATTCACACATCAAATACGGCCAAAAAATATTTATTTATAAACAACTAAAAAGTAATATTTTGACCAAAAGGTCTTAATTAGAAAACAACAAACATGAGTTAAATATTAATAATAATCTTTACTTCATGAAAGTAAATAAGTAAAACATAATTCAGTTCAATAATTTTTTACAAAATGGAGAATATCTACTTCTTGTGCATGACACACGGAAAAACAAAATAATATGTTTGCTATTTATTTTCATGTTTTCCTAATGTTTACATACAATATCATCCTACTTTGTATTTTTTCATGTTTTCCTAATGTTTGCATACAATATCACCCTATTTTTTATTTTTTTTTGTTTTCCTAATGTTTACATACAATATCATCCTACTTTTCTATTTTTTTGTTTTCCTAATGTTTACATACAATATCATCCTACTTTTTATTTTTTCATATTTTACTAATGTTTACATACAATATCATCCTACTTTTCTATTTTTTGTTTTCCTAATGTTTACATACAATATCATCCTACTTTTGTATTTTTTCATGTTTTGCTAATGTTTACATACAATATCATCCTTCTTTTCTATTTTTGTGCAAGTAGGTTTCTTTACCATAACTATGAGAAGTTACATGTCAACTAGTTATTTAGATTATATATTTTGGAAATGAATTTGGAAAGTGCTATATATAATTGATCTTGATTTTCATCAGCATTTGTTTTTACTTCTGTTCTTTTTCCCTTTTGCTTATGCAATTTTACATGCTGTAATATACTTGAACACCAAATTCTTAATACTTGCCTGTTTCTTTACACATTTATTTACTTATAGACATTACATACAATACATATGTTAGCATTCAAGCTACATAGGTAGATGACTTACTTCAATTAGTGATGAGAAGAAGTGTCTTTACACTTCTCTTAATAATAAAAACCTGGATGTCTATATCCAAAAGCCATAGGAGTTCAGTAATAACGAGCAAATTAACTTTAAGTTAGGCCACCCTTCCAGAGTTGAGTATTTAAACAGTGTTATCACCACAATAAAGCTAATTTCATTAGATTCTGGGTTTTTATTTCTACTTATTCCCTAATAGGTTTTAAGTTTGTAAGGTAAAACTGTAATAACTAAAACATTTATATCAAAGAATATATTACCATTATTTTAACAGCACTTCTGTACTTATTAAATGTCTAAGTTTAAAAAAAAAAAAATCAGTGCTGAGGAAAGAATAAGCCTTTGTTCCAATGCTGGTGCTTATGGAGATTATTGCACATGAAGAATGAGCTACCCTGTTGTTGGTGGAGGGTTATAGTGTAATGATGATCACATCGTAGGCTAGTGCAGTACACATTAATATGTGTAGGGATAGGAGTACAGAACTCAAAACAGATGTCACTGTATGAACCGGCACAATGTATCACATGAAAATCAAAAGTTTCTGAAATAAACTTTGATTGGAAACAAATGATACATGCACCTCACCTGTTTCACTTAGTTCACAGTCCAAAGAGGAGAATCATACAGTTAAGTTCCCACCCACAGTTTTGTCTGTATGCATTACAAGAAAGTAATGAATTACTGTCAATAAAAACATCATGAGCCCCTTCCCATTCTTCAGCTGTTGGCCCATAAGCAAATGAGCATGTAGGGGTTTGTTTAAATGAAATAGCAACAAAACTATAGGGTCATTTGGAGTAGTAAATGATAATTACCTAGATGGAGATGTAATTTAGGTTTTCTATATACTACATATGGAAATAACTGCTATTACATCAACAATCCAATCAAAATAAATTAAAAGCAAAAAATTATATGATTTGTGTATTTTTGGATATATGGCTACTCTCGTGTAAAAATTTGAGGCCAATAATGGTTATAAGGTGTGCTGCTTATCATGTAACAAGATATATAAGTACAGCGATTTGTGGTGTAGCATAATCAAGATTAATGTGTTCAATATGTCTAGTTTCAGGCACTTTTTATTTTAAATATAACTAACATCCTTCCCTAATATCTAGGTATATTATTATACATTCACACATATGTGCAACTCAACCTTGGAAGACACACCTTAGATTTGAAATATAAGACAGTGAAAAAGGGTAAAACCTTTGCTAGGGCTGGTGAAAGGAATTTGGAAAATGAAAGAGAAACATTTGGAGAGAAGAAAGAT